CAGACTGAAACTATCACTAGAAACTTCTCTAGGCACTATTCCTATAGTAACTAGACCATCTTGCGGCTTTCGCTAAACAAATTCAACGGCTGAGAATAGTACCGCGACTGGTAACTAGTACACAAGAAATGAATGCATAATGAAGAAAAGTGCAAATGGTCTTATTTCGAATTCCTATGATGAGGTATAGGTACCGATTCGTTTACAGTTGAAGGATGACCGCAAGCGCGCTGCCAGCCAATAAGAATCAATACCTATAACCCACCATGGCAATTCGAAACTGAAAAAATAAAGGATAACGAAGAAAATTGCTGATTTCATACTTTACACCTCAAAGGTTCCTGAAATACTAGTGCATGTGCCCGAACAAGCAATAACATAGAAATAACACTGAGTACATTATTGCCCTTACAAACAAGCATACAACATTATAGCTAATATTTATATAAGCTCAACAAAAAAGGCAGCTCAGGTTGACGATGTCGTGTATCCGAGAACGTATTTGAATAATTCGTACACAGACCATGACAATGCAGTGGCGGGCATCTGTAATGAACAACATCAGTCATTTTATCACTTATAAATCGCAGTTTTGAATAAAACATCCGAGTTTTCAGAGGCAGCTGACGTGATGAAAAAGTAAATAAGAGCAAATACCTGGAAAATGACTCGCGCTTGCATTCCACAAGTGAAACCAGCGAGACCTCGTTGTGAGTAGATGATTTTGAAAGCATCGGGAATATTTCGGTAGCCAACAGTGCTCTGCAGAATGATAGTATCTTTTGGCAATATACGATTCACACACGGCAGTTCCTTAAATCACCACACTGCGACTCATCAACATCAGCACCCATAACTAGCACATTTTCCATATGTATAATAACATATTACGTGCACCTCAAGCTAGAACCAAGTTTGGACCATTAACTTGCGTCCGACTCTGCTGGTTGAGATGAAATGAGCCCGAGAGAGGGGTTATACGCGGACTGGCTCTTGTGCGTTGGACCGCTTTTCGAGTTACCCTTGCCCTCTTTTTGAAAGAAAAAAGTTCAGTATTTTATATTACCATCCTCTTCCCCTCCCTTTTTCAAGCATTTTTTGGGAACAGCAGCGATGGAACATATCTAAACTCCTAGTACTTCCCACGTAATGATGCACTTCCATGATCGACCACGCTGCTCCTTTTTTCAGTTCCGGACTGAGTTCAACGTTAACTTCACGTGCGTCGAGTGTGAACCGCGTGCCGTAATTTATCAGGCGAATGCGCAGTCTTCATGGTTAATAAGACCACTAATCATTTTCGCGCCGCATACACTTGACAATGTGAATATGAAGTGAATTTGGCTACCGTAGAATTCAAAGAGAATATAAGCAGGAGGAAATTCAGTGAGCTGTCTGAGCTTGAGGGAAGCCATTATGAGATGTGGAGGTAACAGCTCAAATATTCATGCTTTCTAAAGAAAAATCTGACAAATAAAAGAGAAAATAGGTTTCTAGAAGGAAAACGATGCTGGTATAGCGAAGCCAGTAGATTTAGGTAGTATTTACTTTGGATTGGCTTCGGCGGCTTGACAAATAAGCTGGGGATAATAAAGGAAAGAAAGGAAAAGTCATCATATGGTTATCAGGCAGTAAACGGAAGGGATGCGCACTTTCCTAACTTAATTTCCCTATATCCCTGTCAAATAGCGAATTGAACAGCAGGATTCGAGTAAGTGGACGGCCTTGAACTGATGACTTGAGATGAATAAAGGCAAAAATCGAACAATAAAATAGGAACTAAGATCACGCTACTAAAATTTCAAAGACCTCAACCAATGATTCCTACCTTAAGTAGAATTTCCTTCTGACAATACGATTTCTGGAGTTTGTTGCGTGTTCAACACAGTTTTTACACAATCTAGAGGCGTCGTTATCATGGCTGCTAATCCACCAGCAAGACCACCGCAATAATGATGAGACGTATAGGATCATACTTTGTGTTTCGATTGAGATCTGTAGACTAAATGTTTACAGGTAGGGGTAAATAATGGATACGAGCCAGCAAAAGCACATACCTGTTGCCAAAACTGTTATGTATAAATGATAGATGAATGATGACAACCTAATGCGTAGGTTGGGTTAAGTAGACATATGAGAAGCGCCTGCCTTCCTTTGGTAATACAACTGCACGTTAGGTAGAACCTCGTGAGTAAAATGGAATCTGCATTCCCGAGCCTGTTGAACCGAAACGGTAATAAAAATTGTGTTCTCAAGAGATGAGAATGAAGCAAAACGAGCTGAAGTCATTACTCAAAGATATAACGAATCGTGTATTCATGATTTGTACGACTGGGCTAGTCCTTACGAACAGTGATTCGAGTTGACCAGACCGTATTTCCCGTAGAGAACCTTAAGATTACAAATAGTTTTACATTTGGACGTTGTAGCTACCCGAAACATAAAAATAAACTACTTGGTCTTTTCATATATGTAAAGTATAGAGGATCGTGCAGGCATTTTGTTTTGAACAACTTGCCCTAATGGCGTTGACATCCTCTCAAACAGGGCCTGCAGTACATGTTCCCTAAAGGGTTGAAAATCAAAACAAGGCTTTGTTTCAAATTTTTGAACACTCTTGTAAAGGAGATGTATTTTTCCGTCGAATACGTGCCATCACCGGAAGACATTATTATCGTTGGCCTTCTGCGTGCACCTCTAAAGAATTTTTCTCGACGAAAGTTCATTCATTGTCTTGTAACCTTTCTGTTTTCTCGTCGGCACAGAACGATAAGTACAAAGAACAAGTGCAGAAACGGAGGTATGATGTTACACCACACTGTAGAAAAAACTCAGTTCAATTGTGTAAAGAAAGTTCGCCTTTACCGAAATCCCCAAAAAATGTCCGCTGGGGAAGGGGGAGGGGGAAGGTATACAGTACGGGAATGCAGTGCAGTTCCTTATTGAAAAATCTCGGTCTTCGTAAATTCACAAAATTTCGAGGAAGTCTTTCCAATATAGTTAACAAATCAGATCCTACACTAAATCCTGCACTTTCTCCGAAGGTACGTTGCCGATTCCACTCAATACAACCCCCTACTAAGAAATCCTCGAGATCTGTTTATACTGTTATCGCAGCGACAGACGCTCTAACAGCTGCTTCTTCCCAGGGTTGTTTACGTTCAGTACTGTTACCATTATCGCTCTTCTCATTTCGAAAGTGCAATTCATATAAAGCACTACTATCATGCCGTCATAGCGGATCACAGTTGATATCGGATTAACATCGAAAAGACGGCCACCATCTTATCCGTAAGCCCTCATCTCCCATATCAATCGGCAGAATGAGTCCCCCATTACTTGGTTTTCTGACGATTTCTTCTAGTTTCTGCACCATCAAGCACCTTTACTCTCACATTTCAACAATACCATATAATCATAAAAATGCCTTTAATGCACAAAAACCTGATACTCCTGAGGCCACATTTACAAGCTCAACCGGATTTCTACTGTAATAAAGCGAGTACAATCATCGATGGGAAACCTGTTGAGGATATTGCAGCGAAGGAAGTAAGGAAACCTAGTAAAGGGAATTACCCAAAAATCTAACGTAAGAGATCGGGCTTATATTGTCTGGTAATGGAAAAATTTCTTTAACCGAACACAAAAAAGTAAAAAACAAAAAAAAAAACAAAAATTGAAAGCTGTACCTTTCCTCCTCACAATATTCCATAAGAAT